TAGTCAATTCTAAATTTTACCTGATCATTTGATCTAGTGAACTTCTTTTCGTATGAGTTGAATATTGAATATTCAATAAATATTGAATATTTAATAATAATAAATATATTGACTAATATTTAGTTATTAAAAATAAATTAATATTCTCTAGTACATCTTTTCTAAATATTATACTTACATATCTTTAATTTGTTCAGCTAGAGATGACCTTTTAAGTTTTTCAAAATATCATATTTTAAATCATAGATTTAATACAACTGACGCAATATATAAAAGACTTATTCTTTGGCAATATTCTAGAAGTTTATTAGCAGTAGCTTTGTACTTCTTCTTAAGCTATTCTGACATATTATTATTTTTTTTAGCATCTTCAAGTAATTTAAGCAATGAATAATAGAGTAGGATGACCATTGATAATATTAGATATTCTGATAATAACATAAATACAGTTGCTAAATTAAATTAAAAATAAATATTTTGTCTATTACAGTTTAAGGGTAGGGGTGATGTAGAACATTTGTCATATAATTTTCCTAACAAATAACATTTTATATATATAAAAAAAAATATATTACTAATAAAACTTTTTAGTATTATATTCAATTATTACCAAAATTTAATAGTATATAAATCTAAATCTTCTAATTATTTTAATAAAATTTTATAATTTATTTTATTTAAAAAAAAACTTACTTTATATATTACTAAGTTTTCCTAGGTTTGCTTATGAGTTTCCTAGGTTACACAAGATTTATATAAGAAATTTGTGTAACATAAACACGATTTTATATGTAAATCATATGATATCATATGATTTGTAATATAATTACTAGTAAAAATGATCTACATTACCCCTACTCTTAAGATTATATATTTTTTTAAAACTAAAAAAAGCTACATTCTGTTAATTTAGAAATAAATCTACAAATTTATCTTTAATAAATAAAAACTTGTGGATTCAAGTCTTTTAAATAATAAATACTAATTATCTTCAAAAGGCAGTAAAACTTCAACAAGAAGTTTTATTTTTTTTTTTACTCATTTTTAATAAAAATATATTGATACAGTTCTTCTTCAGCAATAGTTATAGCATCTAATACTGTCTTTAATTTTAATGCTCACTTACATATATAAAAGATAAAATTTTACTAGGTTACTATATCAAGAATTGGTTTTAATACAATAAATAATTTTAATTTTTTGTAGCAATTTTGTGATCTTCTAATGCTTTAAATTAATTTACACAATTATATAAATTAATTAAATATAAATATATATATAAAAAAAATAATCTAAGTATACTAGTATCTTATAAGTAAAATAGAAAACCTTTTCTAACTTATTTTCTGCAATTTTTAAAAGACTTTGAATAGAAAGATTTATAATATGATTAACATATTATATCAATTACTAATTACTATTAAATCTAAAACTAGCTAGTAGTATAGAATTAGAAAAATCATATAAAAACTTTATATTAGCAGATGTATTATCGCAGATTATTGCTATTAATTTTGAGATAATCTTATTTTTTTGAAGATATTCTTCTATAGCATTTGCAATTATAACACCTGTATATGAATCTTTCAAATAAATAAAGTTTAGTAGAAGATGTTTTATTTTCTATATTATATCTAAGTAATGAATAGTAATAGCTATAAATGACTTTTTATTAGTAAAAGTTGTCAATATATCAGTTGTTATCACTATATATCCAGGAATTTTTTGAAATTTTTTTTCAAGTCTTTCATGTTCTGTTTCAAAATTTTTCATAATATATTGTTTAATGAAGTCAGCAGAAGATACTAAAAAAAAATTAGTAAGTATTACTAAAATTAATATACATAAAATCATACAAAGTTAATTAATAGTTTCTCATAATATTTGAATTTAAAAATGACCTACTTATCTGGCTTTTAATTTTTTATTTATAAAAATTTTATATGTTTATTATCTAGAAAATATCAAAAAACATATATAATTTTTTTTTGATTTTTAAAAAAAACTTACTTAGAAGTATTTATATAAAAATTTTTATAAAAAATTTATAAAAGCTGATCTAACTAGCTTATAAGAAACAACAATTAATTTTATAAAGCCTAATCTAAAAAAAAATTTAAGATATAATAGTATAATTTAAATATTATTTTTACTAGCTATGTTAGATTCTAAATAAGTAAGTATCAATCTAAGTTCATCATTTTTGATAATCTGAAATGATCAATTATATTTTATAATCTAACTTTTTATCATATCATTTAGTTTTTGTTAGTCAAAAGGTTCTTGATAGTAGTTTTAATTATTTAATATATCTAAAACATTAATATCTTCTTTTACATTTGATTTATTCAGTTCAAGTACTTTATTCTTATATCTTTTGAGATGTCTTAAGAGATTCAATATTATTCTATTATTATATGCTAGCTTCCTATTACAAATACTATATGTTATATTGCTTTGTTCCTTTTTAAAATATTTTTATATAATGGATCTATAAAATATAAGTTAATAAATAAAAAATATTAAATTAAAGTCTTAAAGAAATGTTAAGAAAAAACCAAACTTTAATTATATATGATTGAAGTCTATTTTTCTCTTAGTATCTCTAATATTAATTATCTGTTATTTACAGATAATTTATTATAAGTTAAAGGCTTTGCTTGTAACAATAGTTCATTTGAACAAGCTTTATCTTGTGATTTGCTTTGGTTTAATTCAGCCAAGTGTAATTCATCATAGTATAATTTATTTGAATACAATTTATCTTGGTATAATCTGTTTAGGTATAATTCATCTGAGTACAATTCATCAAATTCATCTGAATTTGGTTCATATTCTTCAAATTCACCTGGGTTTGGTTCACATTTTCCAAATTCATTTTGAGAATATGCTGATTAGTTTGATATTTTATTTTTAAGTTTAGGTTCCAAGTTTCAAAAATAGTTTATGTTTATATTTTATTTTTATTTTATTTTTTATTTTATTTTATTTTTTTTTTTTTCAGCAATCATGCTAATACTTTATTTAATCAAATTTTTGCCTATGACTAAAAACTCTATCTAGTATAATCTACTATCTAGTGATTAATTCTAAGTATTAACTCACTCGGTTACTACTTTAGTACCTAAGTGCGATCTGCTATAGTGACCTTTTGACCTCCATGCTTCTGAGCTCGATATACGACTACCCAAAAGCACTTCAACGGAAGGATGCCACAGCCCATTTTTATTTTTTATTTTATTTTTTATTTTATTTTTATTTTTATTTTTTTATTTTTATTTTATTTTTTTTTATTTTTTTTTCATAAAGTTGACTAAGTGTTCAATTATTTATTGTAACCCTAGAGGGTTGGACTTGACTGTCTTGGTTTATAAAATTTTATTAAATACATTTTATCTGATGTTTGTGTTGTATCTTTTTGATGCAAATAATTTGTGCAGCCTAGTTGTGTACGTTTATTTTTTACCCAAGTTCTCTATCACAAGTTTAATAATATCTAAAATCTGTAGTATGTATGATTCACACCCACTTTTGTTTCTCACTATGTTTCTTTAACACCTAAATTTCCCTTCTTAGATGACTTTACTGGTATAACCAAGAGCTATTTATTAAGTTTTATTCAAAAAGTTGTTCAATCTCACAGATTAAACTTACTGTATTTATTTAATTTATATATACAATTGCATCACTGATCTGTTAAATTTCAAATTAGTCTAATTAAAATTTAATGTTTAAGTAATTCTGTAATTTAGAAGTCTAATTTAATTAGACTTCTAAATTACAGAATTACTTAAATGTTAAATTATTCTCACTTCGCATGATATAACCTCAGGTAAGATTCATTTTAACCTACATTGGTTCAAATGAACTTAATCTAGGTTTATTTAAGCCTTAGTTAGTTCGAATGAATCTAACCTGGGATCATTTGAACCAACTTAGGTTCAAATAACACCAGATCGGATATTACCCGGTCGGATCTTTGTACAGATCCGAAACCGTACGGGTATTGATAATTATGGGTCCGAACTTGGTCCGTCAACGGACCGGATCGGACCCGAGTCGGACCCGGATCTTTTGCGGAACACTAGTTTGCAGCATGTGTTGGGCAGTATTAAAAATAGCCCAAATAGTGTTGGGTAGCATTAAACATAAGCCGAGTAGTGTGAGCAGCATTAAGAGATTCCGAAACAAATATATACTAGAACGTGTAAGAAAAAAAAAGTATAATACAATACATTATCCAGATACAAATTCAAAAACTATAGGCTTAAAATTTATATTTAACAAACATATAGCCATCAAGAAAATTAAACGTAGTAATCTTAAACATTTACAGTAACTTGCGAAATAAGATGGCTAAGCACAAACTAAAAGGCTAGGCCAAAAGTTTAAAAACAAAAGAACCATTTTTTGAATAACTTAAAATAAGTGAAAGTTCATTATAATTAAAACGATTATATGCTTAGAATCGATTCAAAAATATGTAATCGTTTCTAGAAACGATTATAACGAATTTAAATAATTTATGGAAGACAAGATAATAATCTTAACGAAAATTCAAATCTAGAGGAATTACAGTATTATATTTTATGTAAGTTTATAATGAGTCGTAAAAATTTTATAATGATATCTAAATATTGCACGAATTATCGCAAGTAGTTATTTAAAGTTTAAAAATGTAACTTACATATCAATTAATAATCAAAATTACTAATTCTTTGAAGGAGTCGCAGCAAAAATTCTTGCAAGAATCTTAAAATTTTAAATATAGTAAAAGCAATTAATAATTATGATGACAAATTTCTGCTTTTTTGATTATAAATAATAAAGTTTTTTTTTGCGCTCAACTAATCCTGATTTTCTAATTGGCTAATTAGTGTATTTGAAGATTTTCGCTAGCTAAATTGAGCACAGTTATACTTCCTAATAAACCGACCGTGAGAAAAATTTTAAATAATAAATATCTGAATAAAAAGGGTTTCTTGTTCTGATAAGAAAAAATGTCTAAAAAACCAATTCTTTACTCATATTACAGGTCGTCTTGTACTTGGAGAGTTCGAACATGTTTGAACTGGAAAGGAATCGATTATGAAACTCGTTTTGTTGATTTATTGAAAGATGAACATGCACGTTTAATAAATTTTCTTTTTTTCTTTTTGTTTGATATAATACAGTTTTTGTATATATATTTTTTTTTTTACAATTTAATAAATTAAATAGTTCGAAGCGGGCTATAATGGTATCAACCCATATAAAGTCGTTCCAACTTTAGAAATTGATGATGTTGTATTAAGTCAATCAGTTGCAATACTTGAATATCTGGAAGAAATACGTCCAGAAAAACCATTATTGCCCAAAGATCCATATAAAAGGGCTCTGGTATTATTTCTTAATATATTTTATTTTTATTAGGTTAAAAAAAAATAAATAATAATAAATATTTATATATGTTAATTGGTATTTAATAGGTTCGATCTTTAGTTCAAGCAATTGCTGGCGATATTCAACCACTACAAAATCTGAGTGTTTTAAAATACCTTGAACGTTCTGGCGCTAATAAAAACGAGTGGATTAAGTTTTGCATTTGCAAGGGTTTTGATGGTATTTAATCTTCATATCTTAATATATCATTTCATAATAAGTATATTTATAAATTTTTTTAAATAAATTTATTTAAAGGCGTTGAGAAACAACTTGAAAAAACACAAGGTAAATATTGTGTTGGAGATGAAGTCACTTTAGCGGATGTTTGCCTCTTACCACAAGTTTATAATGCCCGGAGGTTTGTTCTTTGTAATTTTCCTCTAATAATATTTAATTAAATGCACTTAATATTTGATCACTAATATTTATATTCATTTTAATAGATATGAGATTGACCTTACAAATTATCCTCGAATCCAAAAAATTGCGGATAATTTGTCTAAATTGGAAGCTTTTAAGAAAGCTCATCCGCATAATCAAGATGATTGTCCTGTTGAATTGAGAGATACGAATTAATATTTTTTCATAAATGATTATGCTTTAAAATTTATAAACTATCAAATTTTATAAACTTTGATGAAACTTCATCAAGATCAAAAAAATTGATAATAAAAAGCCAATTAATTTCATACCCACTTGCTTAAGAGTGAAGAATACTAAGATGCAAAGCGGTTAACGGTCAAGACATAAAATAACCAAAATATTGTTGGTCTATTTATGATCGATTATTATTTTGTATTCATAAAGTCGATATCTTCTAATATCAGATAATAGAATTAATACGTAAGTTCTCACCATAGCGATTAACCTACAAAGGATTAATTCCCATTAATCAATTAGCACAAATAAATTATTGCAATGTGAACGATAATTTCAAAGGTAGCTTTATAAACTTATGAACGAATATACAACATAACTTACATTAGAACGTTACGAATTTATTATATATTAAAAATTACGAAAAATGCGATTTTTTTGATAAATCTATTTGTAACATAACAGCTTCGGAAATTAGGGTCGGAAAATCAAACTAATTAAACAACCAATCAAAATAAAATTTGGATAAAAAACTTTATCGTTATAATTTCACTTTTTTTAGATAAAAAAAACTCGAATATTACGTGTATACTTTGAAGAATACTAGATAAATGAGAATTTGAGTTTTATGATTTGCTGAATTTAATTCCACAGAGTAATAAATCATCTTTATACTCATCGGCAAATAAAGAATTTGAAAAGTATCAGGTAAATAAGTATTTGCGATCATGATTTGTTAATTATTCCAGAGTATTAATCCTATTGTATAATGCTAGGGATTTCTAAGTGGCTGGAAATTTTCGTTCATTTGAAAAATTTAATCAGTTATGAAGTTTCAATATCCAACTTAAAATGATGTTGCTAAAAAAAAAAGGCAGATTTCATCACCCGGAAATTTCATGTCATTGTTCGAATCTATTAATTACATGTGATCAAATACATAAAGGTTAACCATTCTAGTCGCTTCTATGACAGTGTTAAGAATTTAACGTTAAAAAAAATTACGTAATGCT